GGATCTGCAAGCATGTTTATGCAGAAAAATAAAATCCTATCATATTGCTTTACTAGTTACAGCTTATTTTTGATACCGCTGCCACCTTTCCAGTTTTTAATACCGGATTCATTAATGATATCGCCAATCATCCTTTAAAGATTTTAAACACCACAACAAAGAAAAATAGGGTTAGTTACCGTTAGATCACCAGTATAAATTTCCTTTCAATATTGGATCGTTTCGGTATTCTTCTTCTTGTGAATACGACTGTGCCATTCTTATCGCTGTTTCTATGGCACAGCTCGATCATTGCGAGGTGCCTTACTTTCAAAGCAGAATCCACACTCACGTGGCAAGCACAGCATATAGTTTGTTTCCTTCTCAGAGCGGTATTCATTTATCAACGTCGGAAAGAAAAGGACAATTGACCCTGACCAGAACTTAAATTCTGTGCCTCTCGATTCCGTGTTCGATGTTCTAGTGACTGCACAACCATTGTCTGAAGCATGAATAAGATAAAGAATGTCATTATACAGAATCGAATTCTTTACGTCCGAATTTCAACAGAGGTTGCGCAGCGTCAAACCCAACTGAATTATTCAAATATTAAAATAAAAAGATATTTGAATAAACTAATATTCATATGCTTCAATCCAAAAATAGCAGTGCCTAGACGTCATTGAATTTGTTTGAAGAACATCTGGTACTCCAAAAAGTCAAGAAATCTGGAACAACTGATTATCACCGATTCATGTCTGACTTTTAGAAATAGCCGGTAATATTAAAAATTATTACTTGTCATGGCAATAATCGAGTACATTTTATTTTGTGTTATCATTGTAAGGGTAAATGGCAGAAGTGAAACATTTGCTCAGTGGCTTTTGAATAGCGATGGTATGGCCGATAATGCTGTCGTTTTACCTTGACATATGATTAAAATATCTTCTTTCAACACATATAAGTATGAAAGGGAGATGACAATATGTGACAATGTTACCAGTAATATTAGGGCTTAATACTGTTACCGATAGACGAATTTCTTCATATTTATGGAATGTAACCTTTTGCTGCTTTGTTGAATTAGGTTCTGCTACTGTAGTTGGCGGGTAGACGAGTAAGTCTGAGAAATTGAACAAAGACAGAGTTACATTGTTTTAAAATTTTCTCTTCCGAACAGTTGATGAGTAAAAGTCATCTGTTCCTATAATCGCTGTTAATAAATTTGTATCAGTAATCGAACAATAAGCGATTAAATAAAAAATTGCGAATAAGTCTGGCTTGTAAAGGTTTGAAAACAAATTATACAAATTAGCGCAAACTGGTTATTTTATTGTCTTGATTTGCACAGGAAATCGTTGGGTATTAATGAATTTTCCAGTGATCTTTTATTTTAATGAATTTTAAAAATATGGTAAGTACATAGTGGTGCGAATGATTTGTAGAACTGGTTGCCTATGCAGTTGGTTAGTTTTTCCGTTCCCGCGCCATCCAGAGGATTTTTCATCAAGGGCTGCTCACTGATATGTCGTGCCATTATTCCGCGTGTCCTGTATTTTGTTTAGTATTCTGTCTTCTTGAACTCGCTAACTATTCCCATCATCATTCCGCATTACAGCCGTGAAGAACTAATGGCTCTGAAAGGGGATGCACTGGCATCAAAATTGATTTCTCTGTCGAAACGTTGTACGCATTCAGTTGTTCAGCAATGCTACGATGGCAAAAATGGTGCATGGCTGGCTGTCAACGGGTAGTTCATCGTCGCAGCTTGGAGCATATCATTTTTAAATAATGGTGGATTTATTTTCAATAAGATTGATAAACTCGAGTCACCGCTGCTCACATCTAAGTTGCCCAATTCTTGCGCAATTCTGTTGCAGGAAACTAGACTTCTCAGGGAAATTGACAATGCATTTGGGGATTATTGAAGGATACTCGCTCTTTCGTACCCGCAGAATAAGTACAGCGAAAATTCAGGGTAATGGTGTTGCAGCGTAGAGGAACAAGTCTTGGTGCGACGGTCAATCAGTGATAGGAATAATTAGTTCCTCTTTTAGCTGTCGTTCGGTGCTACTTCAGTCCCCAAATGCCAACTTTCACCTCAATCGAAATGTGTAATATTCGTCATTCTGTTTGCAGAAACGTTAAATATCACTCATTTCTCTAGAGACCTACGCTGACTCTGCACAGTGATCATCAAGGACCTCGTATCTTTGCTGGGGACTTTAATCGCCTGAATACCCTGTTGCTTGTGACAGGGCTAATTAGCATTATGATGTTCGGCTCACGTGCTGATACGCAGTTGGACGTCTGCCTTACGAACGCTTCGGAAGTTTTCGTCCCTACTACCATGCATAACTAGGGCAATATGACCACTGCTCTCTTCGAGTCCTTCCCACGCTCTATACGAAAAAGACCATCCGAAACATATAGTCTGAAAAACAATGAACATTGAGTAGAAGAACTAAGAGTAGAAGAGTCGTGAACATCTCATGCAGAACACGATGCAGTTTATGAGAAAGTTATATGATGAAGTAATATTTTGTAAGGTGATGTTCTGGCCGGATGTTTGACTTTTACTTATGATATCTGCTGCCCTGTTCGAAAGAATTTTGTCGAACCTCAATTCGTAACCTCGAAATTAATCAAGCTGCTACGCAGAAAGAAAGTGTGCCTTCAAAGCAAATGATACGTCTGCGGTTAATATGTTGCACGTTCAACTTAAAGCTGAAATTCTTCAGTTTAAATTTGTACAAATTTCAAATCAAACGTCATTCTGCGTTAGACTTCTGAGTGAAAGTTGTCTGAAAGACCTCTAAGATGGGCTGCAGTGTTTTAGCAACTATTAAACGGGGGGAGGACGCAGAGACATGTAGTGACCTCAATTCCTTAATCGATTATTTTTCATTGTTCGAAGTTGCTGATTCAGTACCAGGCTAGCATAAAGATTATATTTGCCCATCGCTTTCCGTTTGTCCAGTTATGTTCTTATTCAAGATGATGACTTGTTTCAGGCATTTTCGAGCTCACTCAGCTTCTGGACCTGACAATATACCAGCAAGACTTCTGTTGCTTAGCTAGCTAGCTCCAGTATTCATCAACTTATTCAATCAAAGTCTATAGAAAGCCCACATACTTGACTCCTTTAGGATAGTTCGAATCATTTCTGCTAGAAAGAAGCCTCAGGACAAATGTCCCACTAATTTTTGGCCTATCGCGGTCATTTTCATTATGCTGAAATGCATTCAGTTGCTGATAAAACTGCATTTAATTGAAGCCTATTGTTTTGATCCACACCAGTTCGCCTAGAGACGCGGTTGAAGCACAGCAGACGCAGTATCATACCTAATGGATTGTATGATGGAGGATGCGTTTTGAACAATGCATGACTTGACTTTTCCTGTGCTTTTAACACTTTATCGCGACCAAGACTGTTCAGGCTACTTCACGACGTGGCGTGTTGCCTATAAAATGATTGACCGAATACCTACAAATCGATAAAAGTGTTTGTTTGTTCATCTCAGTCACTGCTGCTCTCTCATCCTTCCAAACAGCAATGGAGTTGTGCAAAGTCCTGTGCTTTTTTCTCTTTTATGTTATACATAGACGAATTTTGAATAAACTAGAATGTTCTGTGCTTGAAGTACGCAAACCATACCGTCCTTGACCGTGCTGTAAATTCCATGTCTGACATTATTTCTTATCGAACCTGTTTCAAGGCAAATTTTTCTTCAACCTTCGTTTTTCACAAGGTGCGTCAGCGCAGCTTTTCTTTTCCTTTGTCGAGGTTCACTGTTTAAAAGCTTTATTATGCAAGTATCACAGCCTGCGTGTAAAAAACTTGTTTTGCCTCTCGTTTTAGGAAAAATTCATTTACAGTATTTGAGCCTTTGCTTTTCCCATCTCCAAGTAACAGTTTCTTGGAACTGTCTAACATTGATTTGTATCTTTGTTTATGTTGATATGCACCCAGTTTATGAAGTAACCACATTATTCATGTTTTAACATGTCTGATTTCTCGAACCAGATTTTTCTGATTTTGTGCTTCCAGTTGCACCTTGGCGTTGAACAACATTTTTATGATTGAAACCTTTAAAATTTAGTGTCCTAGGAAATGTCGTCAAGATATTCTACTAGTAGCAGCCGTTCAAGAAAGAGAAGAGCTGTCGGCTCTAATGGTATGTAATCTTTAACGTTCGGTTGATTATCGTAAATGTTGCGATCATTTTTACAATTTAAGATGTTCTTGTTAAGCATCTCTGATCTGCTTGATTAATTTATTTTACCTTATTTTATTTCGTATTGAAGTAAACGTTTTTGTGAGGGATCTTTGAAAAAGGACAGCACGTTTGTGGCCAAAATTTTTACATAGAAGCTGACGATATACGCATTAACCTGTTTCTGATTTTTTGAAGGAAGAAAAAACAGTTTTTTGTTAGTCTGTAAATAAAAACTAACAAGGATTTATTTCAAAAGAAGCACATCTTTCTATTCTAGTATGTATTTGCCCTTCTGTGAAGAGTTTTTTACTTTAAATAAATGTAAAAATTGCTTAGACTTCTTTTTTTGAATTCAGTGCTTTTTAAACTGTTTTACATTATAGATTTGGGGAGCTCTGACGTCATTGATCCTACGTCGCCCGGTAGTCGTGACCCCATCAGCAGTGTCGATGCAAATAGTGCGCCTCATGATTTTTCTGAACATTTTTTAAAATGCTGTAACTTAGGAATTACATCTGGTGCAGCGCGCTCTCCATCGAACATTGTTTTGCGATCAGACGTTCAGAGTTCAGGTATTTCTTAAACTGTAATGATAAAGTACATTGAGATTTCATAGTTTAGATGAATATATGGTTTTTATTCATTTGTTAGAAGAGGGTTGTTTTCTTGAAAGGAATAAGGGTCGTAGATTTGTTTATGAGAGAGTCTAGACGTTTCCTTTAGCGAAAGCGTTAAAAACCTGCAAAACGACCAAGATGTAAGATTTTCCGTTTCTAAATCATAACGTATTGCATCGTATTAGTGTTTTTTTGAACTTTTATTACCTGAAAGATATCCTGATTTTTTATGCATTTGATTAAATCCATATTCTATAATACAGTGAAATTAACCGATATTCGACATCAGTTCCTCAGAATTTCATACTGATTCTGTGCTAGTAGATTCAAAGAAGAAATCTAAAAATAAGAAGTTGTTCCGTTTAATAGTTGTATGAATCATAGAGTTGGTAATAGATAAGCATCTGATTCAGAAGTTGACTTTTCAGAAGATAGTCACATTATTCATCATCAGTTTTACGGCAGAAATTGGTCTTTGGACTAAATTTATTTGAATTTTGCACTTTTTTCGAGTCTGAACTATCGAATTGAAAGATTTGATCATTATCTTATTTCATTTTTGTGCTTATCAACTTCAACAAGAAATTCAAAGTTTTGTAACCTTCGAAAAACACAATCGGTCAAAATATAATGTATTGATATTAACTTGTGGAATGAAAGACCATCAGAGTATAGAAGCAAAAAATTAAAGTTCGAGATAAGCTTTAAATATGCTTAGTTGATCTTTTCATAGACTTTGGATTGCATTTTCAATATACGGTGAAATGTCTTCTAGATTCTCTTTAAAATCATGAGTTACTTCAGAACAGTACGTGCCAGAAACAGTAATAACAGTATTATGTCATTTTTGTCAACAATTCTTATGCATGAATCATTCATTAAGGAAAATACTAGACTTTATAACAATCAGCGTGAATTTATAATATTAATTATATAGCATCAACACAAGTTTTCTGTCGAACTGGGTTTTTTTTTTGCAGGGGGCAGCACTCCGCTTCAGTATGGTTCGCCGGCACCTTCCAGCAGCAGGGATGCTGCCGGCAGTCGTAGCTCTCTGGTGGCTGACAGCAGCAGGTAATTAGGTTTTCTTCTGAATTTCTTGCAAAATTACGAAAGTGTAAGCACATGCTTGATAATCGACAAGTTCGTTTGATAAAAGTACTGGAAATTCTGGTTTAGAAATGCTCCTGGAAGATCCAGGGCTGATTTGAACTCAGAGGTTCGCCACCATCGCAATATCGCTCTTGAAGATCCGGAACACATGAACGTGCGTATGATGTTAACAACTTTCATAGTAGCATTACCATTCATTTCGTGGTTTCGTTGCTTGTAATGTGTACAGATAGTGTCGCAGAAATAATGTTGTATTGCAGGTTCCTTTATTTTATTCATTCGTTTTCAACAGCCCATGTTCCGTCTGAATATCAGGGACAGCTATTTCATAAGGTTTTTCCAGTGATCCGGGTATACTACCAAATTGGAATTGGCTAGCTCAATGGTTTAGATTGTGAGGTGCAATGCCTGGTCCTTTTATTTTAATTTCTTAATTCACATTTATTTTTAACTGATCTAAGCTGTTTACAGATTCAATCTTAGCCTTCTGACCATGGAGAACAAGCATTAACCAATCTTAAGGAAATACATGCCAAGATGAAGTAGGATGTGCATATTACACAGCTGCTGTGGCAGCTATGGAAGCCTATGATGAACCCCAGCCAATTACCTAATGAGACAGTTATAACCAAGGAATTATGCTCATTCCCTGCGGGAAGATCAAAGTAACTGCAAACCCGCACACTTTAGATTGGTGTACTTTCTTGTTTACTTTTTTAGAATATCCTCGTGCTGATTATCACAGAGGATAGTCAACGATCGGATCGGTCAAGGCGATATGCAGCCCTAAAAGGGCACGCATTAGACGTAGTTTTACTTCTTTCGTATTTGGGCTACACTGGAAAACTGTACTGTCCTGATTGTTCATAAGTTGACGGCACGTTAGACGATTTTCTGCTTAC